GATGAACAAACAGATCCTTCTGCTGGAGTTAACAGCCAGTAAAGACTAAGAAGAAAGTACAGATATCCCAGGACAAGCACTGATGACAGGACAAAGGTGCCAGACCAGATTCCATTCATGATATCGAAAAGAGTACACAAGACATAATGGAATAGAAGAATCAACTGTAAGCTCATTGTGATGTACAAAGGCACTGTGAAGATGGCATATATTTATTCATAATAAATTAATTCCTTTAAATGGATTAAAAACATCAGAGACAGTGTCTTCAGGAAACTTCAATACATTTCAGTTTGTCTCTATTAAACTAGTTCTACTGTCTTCTACCTTTCGTCCCAAGCCATGAAGACTCTCATTTGTGTGACTGCCTTCCAAGACAGGGGTCTGACTTCAATCCCCAACAGAACAGCTGCCAGCAAAACAGCATTTAGGCCACAGATAGAAAGATGGGAGGTGGCTAATGTTCAGACTTGTCTAGGAAGAGAAGGCAATGAGGATGTGAGCTAGCTACCCAAATTCATGATATCAATGCCTAGAATATGTGGTCTATGATATGAATGCTTAGAATGTGTGGTCTTTAAATCAATGCCTAGAATTTGAGGGTCTATAATGCCAATGCCTAGAATGTGCCATTTATGTATCAATGTCTAGAATATGAGGTTGATGATATCAATGCCTAGCATGTGTGGTCTAATACTTCCTTTCCCAATAGCAATGTCTGCCTTGTGACAACATCACCCTTAATCCAGCAATGGAGCATAGGCCCTCAACAGCCTCACAGCATGCTCTTATGTCTTTCACTATCCTTTCCAACTGTCTGCCTTCCATTGTTTCTCTGTGTGTTTTATGTCTCCCTATACCTCTTCTCCTGTGACTCACGAAGGGGAATTGGACTGAACATAAAGTGCCATGCTGAATGGCATGTCTAGAAGAATCTTCCATTGTCTTTCTCTATAGCTTTCTTCACAAATTTGTCCCCTCCTCACATATTCCAGCCTTTCTCTTCACATGATATGCCCACAAAGAAAGATAGCCTCTTTCTGATGTGTGTGAAGCTGTATTTTTGTCCTGTTCCCAGCGAAACATCCAGCTGAAACATTTAGATCACACACTGTAACTAAGAAGTTGGAAGCATTCTTCAGAGCTACATCTCTAGAGCCTTAATGATGTATGACAGAAAGAGTTTGACTTCTATTACAAGCAATATGCTACTGGAACAGTCAGTATCTACATATTAAGATATGTGCTGTGGCAGCTATGAGTTTGCCCACTATACTATGATGCTGTCGGTTAAATCAGTAATCAGTTCTTATGCGCATTAATTACATCAAATGTTAACACTGGTTTTGTGTGACATTCATTATTATTTGGTGTTACCCTTAGTGGTAGTCATCTATTGCATAATTAATCATAAAATAATTGACTGCTGCGATAACAGATGCGAACCAGACAAAACAGACAACCTCCTCGTTTAGTCAAACATATCTGACTCTGCCGTAACACCTTCAGAAACTTGCACATTTAAATCTATCACAAAATAATTTAATTCCACATTCATCAGAAAAACAGAATAATACCCCACTTACATTCCTGTGATCATTCTACCCATATCAACCTTCACCATACAGTCCATCAACCCTTTCAATCTGAGGTGTGATTCTCGCAGCAAATGCTCAAGGAAATTAATGACCACCATAAAAAGTCATGAATGCACAACATTCAAATCATGTGCGGGAGTAGCCAAAATGGAAGCCGGAGTTCTTTAATGTGCTGTGACCAATAGTAAAATGAGGGTGATTACATTAAACGATGACTGGGATTCATGTGGGAAAGTCTATTTCATATCACACAGTGCACGGGACTGAAAGAGTTAATCCCAAATTCATATACATTTGATACGGACAAAGTAGACTAAGTAACGGATGCCATGGGGCATACTGGATGCACGGTGTCAGTCACTTAGTTTTAGATTGATTAATGCCTGGCTAGTCATTTAGTCAATATCACACCAACTGCATTTTGTTTCCCTGAAATTTCCTGGTGCCTGTTTTAGGCTCACAGCTTAGACCAATGGGGAAAAGATAAACAGCCTGAAAGGGGTGTGAGCACATGGCCACTATGTAGGCAGGCAAGTGTTTAGTCACTGAGCCATTTCTTAAGAAAACAGGGAAGATCAAAAGTAAAGGTCTCTGAGCTGCCTTGAACATATGGTGCTAGCCCCATTTTTTTAATGACCAGTAAGTACTCAATGGGGGACAGAGTTGGGAAAAATGGACAACTGTCTTCTAAAGTGTGATACAGGAAGACTGACTTGGCTTGGCCATGCTGGAGAAAACGGACAACAATTTTATAAGATGTGTGTATAATAAGGCTAACTTGGCCTGGCCATGATGAAAGAAATGGACAATTATTTTTATAAAGTATGCAATCAGCATCAATACTCGCCCCCCCCCGCCCCCCCTAATTTTTTCCTAGGACGTTCACTGGTATTTAATTCTGACCTGAGAAAGTGTTTAAAAAAATTTCATTTAACAAAAAAAAAAAAACATTCTGCCTTCTATGGTCACAGAGCTGGCAGGCAAGCAGGCCAGCTGCTACAGCTGTCTTTGGTTTCACTAAGTAATAACGGGATAGGGCAATGAAACTGGTGGATGCTTCAGCGACAGTGTTCACAATGACTAGCCTAACGATGATGATGATGAAAGAGTAAGGAAACAACATATCAGTTTCTATCTGCAGGCAAATTTATATCCTGTCTTTATCTGTGGAGCCGCCACCCAGTGTGTCAATTTGTGTATGGCACAAATAATTTACAGTAACACTATTGGTCCTATATATATATATTATATATATATATATATATATATATATATATATATATATATATATATATATATATATATATATATATAGACATTAGGGATGTACCGAATATTCGCTTTGTATTCGCTTCAGGGCCGAATAGTGGACCTATTGACTATTCGGTATTAGGCCGAATAGTTGCGGTCGGGCCGAATACGAATAGTAATTACCTTACACCTGCTTCTGCATACACGGCCTTAACGCTGACAACATGGAACGATTGGTTTTGTTTATAGCTAATGCAGATTTCCTGCATTAACTAAGCTGTCAGCGACAATTTCCAGTTACTTGTTATAATACTTAGGATTCTTTCATTCCTAGTTATTAGTTACCACAGACTGACTGAAGGATGCAAAACATAAAATGTTTTTGAATGTTTACTATTCTGTACGAATAGTGAAACATGGAAAGTATATAAACTCCAGCCACATCCGAGACGATAATATGAAAATCAAACGAACGGAAACATATAAATACTTGTGTGCAAACTTCAACTGCTCCAACATGCTGAGAGAAGAAATACAATCTAGAATACAATCTAGAAATAAAGTATACTATGCCCTTCAACATCTGCTAAAGTCAAAGTGTCTGTCTCGCAACATCAAGATCAAAATATATAAAACGTTGTAAGACCAGTCGTTTTATATATACAGGTTTTCGAAAATAGTCTTATGACAAATCTTTGGACCCATCAAAGATGCTAACAGCGGAGGATTGGAGAGTGAGAAGCAAGAACGTAACACATAATCTGTTTAAATACCATTGATCACTGGCACCATGAGAGCTAACAGACTAAAATGGTTGGGGCATATTAAAAGAATGTCAGATGACAGAGAAGTAAAACTGTATACACCTGAGAGAGGAATGGGCGTAGACCACGAGGCAGACAAAAAAGAAGCTCGAGAGAGAATGTTCAGCCAGACCTGCAAACAACTGGTGTCACAAATTGTGAAGAGAAGGCCAGCCAGAGAGATGAATGGAGACGAGTGATATCTGCAGCAGTAAACCTCAAGGGCTCAGAATGCTAAAGAAGAAGATGACTATTCTGTGCTACTTTATGTGAAGTAAAAGTTCAGCGTACATTTGACATTATAGATGTGGGTTTTTTTTTAATAGTTTTTTATATATATATTTTATACACGATACACTATTCGTATTCGGCCGAATAGTTGGTCCCGCTATTCGTATTCGGCCGAATAGTGAAAATCACTATTCGGTACAGCCCTAGTAGACATACACACACCACATGTGAAATTGTGGTTTTAATTAGAAACATTTTGGTATTATCTAAATTTGAACAGTATGAATACAACAATGAGAACACAAACATAAACATGAAAGATAAAAACAGGAGAACTGATGTTCACCTAATGTTAAAACAGTATGAATACAACATCGGAAACTTGAAAACAAACACAAGACAAATAAAATAACAGAAAATTTAGAATTTATGTTAACCAAATGTAAACACATTATGAATACAACACTAGCAACATGAAAACAGCATGTGAAAAAAAAAGAAATTAGAATGAATGTTGAGTTAACGTAAAGATAAAATGAATACCACATTGTGATTATCATGAGACAAATTATCAAATGGAAGGGGGGGGGGGGGAAGAGGGGGTAAACAAGAATTATATGTGAAGATGAGTAAGTAATGTGGGCAGCATTACGCCGGCTGTCTTTACTTTCCCAGGTACCCATATTAGGCTAGGTTGACCTGCGACGCCCCATACCATGATAAAAATCCACGCAGCCAGCAGTGGGTTTCGATCGCAGCACGTTGGAATTACGAGTCAGACTCGCAACGCCTAAGCCACGGACGCCGCGCATATATATATATGATTATGAAAATAAATATGTGAAATCAGAGCATAAACTAACCACACATGAAGACAGGCTGTATACATCAGTGTGAAGAATATGAAAAAAAAAATACATAATCTAAAGCTGAAGATTACAGACAACAGGTCAAGGATCTCCAAAACAAAACAAGTGACAGACAAAAACAGTGCTTTAAAGTGATAAAATGATTAAAATATTTTTTTTTAATGGTGAATAACCAAACCCTTAAAATAAAAATGGCAATAAAATTTTTTATCTGTTTCCAAACAGAATTAAAACAGAAATAAAATATTTCACAATTCGTCTGAATTCGTGTGCTTCTGGAAATATTCTTTAGATTTCTTTGGGTCTGGAATAATCTGCATGAAAGAACAAAGCAATGAATCAAACTTTGCCTACTTGAGAACACTATTAAATATGATGCTGCAACAAAATGTGTATACCATACAACAGGACATAGTAAAAAAAAAAAAAAAAAAACTAAAATCCAACAAAATCTGAACATGGAAGACAAGTGATTCACACCCAGTATCATATATCAGAAACTGAAATACTTTGGTTATTTTAATTGGTAGGCTTTGAAATAACTTGAGGAAGGTGTGGTTCTATAGTTGGATATAACTGGTGGAATATGTTGTTGCAGTTTAAAATAAGTAGTGGAAGGTGTGGTTTTATAGTCTGAAGTGACAGAAGGTGCAGTGGGTGTGACACCCAGCCAGCAGGACACACCTCCCCACACACACACAAAGACACCTACTATGTCACTGCAAGACTTTTAGATAGAAGGAAACCCCCTCCCCCCCAACACCCACAAAGACACCGACTTTGTCACTACCAGGCTTCTAGCCAGTAGGACACATCTCACCACACATGTTAACACAGAGAGACACCCACAGTATCACTGCCAGGCTTCCAGTTAGCAGACACACCTCCACACAAACACAAAGACATCTATTATATAACTGCAAAGCTTTCAGCTAGAAGGACACCCCACCCCACACGCCACCAACACAAAAAAGACACCTACCATAACACTACCAGGCTTCCAGCTAACAGTATACACCTTCCTACACATACACACACACAAAAAGACACCTACCGTGTCACTGCCAGGCTTCCAGCCAGCAGGGCACACCTCCCCATGCTTGTCCGTGTACTGGAAAGCCTGCACTAGTCTCAATGTTTCTTCAACCGACCGCCCAACTGGCAGGTCATTCATGGTTATCTGTCGCAAGATGCCTTTTGGGTCAATGATGAACAAGCCTCTGCAATAATACAAAACAACAATTTATATTAATTCCCCTGTCTTTCCTCTTCTACGTTAGGAGGTAGAGGAAAGCATTTGAAGTTCTCGATGTTCAACTGGTACAAAATACAAACACCCTTCACCCCTCCTTTTTTTTTAAAGTATAAAATGTAAATCAACTCTCAAACAACTGCTGTGATAATCCTAGCAAACAAACTCCAACAGTCTGTTGTGGGCAGGTTTTCTCATTCTAATATTTTACTGTAACAACACCTTACAGTCTGGGGTTATCAAAATAATGTCAATGGACAATTGGCATTCCCATGCAGAAGCTATGGCAAGGTACCTTTAGTCATTGTTGCCATGAGAAGCTGGCTATAATGCTTCCCTTCTTTATTTTGAAGTTGGCAGAAACATTATATTTTCAGCTATACTTCCAAGTCATATAAACTGGTTGGTGTTAGAAGACTCACTATAATAATTTAATAACAATGAGAGGGAGGAGGGAGCCAGACACAGTAAAAGTCAGAGGGGGGAGGGGGGGGGGGGGGGGGGGTGTCAAAGGAGAGCAGCACAGAGAAAGAAAGAGTAAGAGGAAGTGGAGAAGAAAGAGGAAGAGACAGAAAAGAGGAGAGACAGGAAGACAGAGAGAATGGAAGACTGAGTGGGAAGATGACAACAGGGAGATACAAGTGGGGAGATGACAACAGGGAGAGACAGCCAGAAAGAAATATGGAAAAACATAGTGAAAATGAAGAGTGGCAGACACGGGGAGAGGCAGAGACAGACACGGCATACATGGGCACAGATGCAGAGAGACAGGTATGACTATGAGATAGTGGCAGAAATATAAAGTTAAAAAAAAAAAAAAAACACTGAATCAGTGATACAAAGAGATTGTAGAAAACCATTAAACAAGCCAATGACAACTTCAGGACAGAGATAACCAAGATACTGGAATGATACTGATCCAAATAACCAACACAAAGAGTCACATTCCATGAGGCAGTTCCCTAATGGGTTCTGGGGCTATATTTTGAAGAAATAACAGACCCACCGGCCCTCCCAAACCCTAAACAAACATGCTAGTTGTAGTGCATCTGTCTGAGAGGCAAGGAACCAACAGTCTGCATAAAAAAAGTATGCCAGATCTGTAAAATGGACATGCACACAAACTCAACTTCTGGATTAAAAGCAGCAGCAGACAAACAACAGAACTTTCTGATGGAGTTTATAGCCGGTGGACACTAAGAAGAAGAAAAGGGGCAGTTCAACTACACATACAAGAGAACACAAACTGCTGACCTCAAGCTGTGTCCCAGATCTTGGAGGTAGACTCCGTAGGCTTTGGAGATTTCATGGGTGATGTCAGAAAGCAGAGGGAAATTGATCTTGCCTAAACCTCCCTGGTTTCTGGGCACATTTGTCCTAGATAACAGCATCAACAGTCAGATGGTGCATATATAGCCCATTTGTTCTTGATAGCAGCATCAACAATCAGATGGTGTATTTATAGCCCTTTTGTTCTAGATAACAGCATCAACAATCAGATGGTGCATATATAGCCCATTTGTTCTAGATAACAGCATCAACAGTCAGATAAACAGAATCAACAATCAGTGGTGCTTTTATAGCCCTACGATTTGTTCTAGATAACAGCATCAACAAAAAGATGGTGCATATATAGCCCATTTGTTCTAGATAACAGCATCAACAATCAGATGGTGCTTTTATAGCCCTTTTGTTCTAGATAACAGCATCAACAATCAGATGGTGCATATGTAGCCCATTTGTTCTAGATAACAGCATCAACAATAAGATGGTGCATATGTAGCCCATTTGTTCTAGATAACAGCATCAATAATCAGATGGTGCATATATAGCCCTTTTGTTCTAGATAACAGCATCAACAATCAGTTGGTGAAAATATAGCACTTGTTCTAGATAACGGCATCAACAATCATCAATGAATATATAGTATGTCTGTCCCAGATAACAGCATCAAAGCTCAACTGTCCCAGATGACAGCATCACTACTCACATGGTGAATATATAGCACATTTGTTCTAGATAACCGCATCAACAGTCAGACGGTGAATATAGAGCACATTTGTCACACTAGGAACCCAATGGCAGTCTGCTTCTAGTGCCTGACTTCTTCAAAGATTAGCATTTGCCATGCCTTCGATTCCAGCATCAGTGTCTGTGGTTAAGGTGTTGCGAACCTGATCCATAATGCCAGGCTAGATCCCAACTGCGAACGATTTGGCAGCAGACTGTCTTGTGCTGGTTCCGACAATGGTACCAGGAGTCAACAATTCAGAAGCAATGGCAAACTACTGAACGTGAATTTGCCAAGAAAAACCAAAACAGCCAAAAAATGTTGGGGTTGGTTCTGCAACATAATGTAAAGGATAGGCAACTAACTATATAAATATTTCAAAAGGACTGTTTTCTTGAGGTCTTTAAAGATGCCCCATACTTTGTCTAGCAAGGTTAATCCTGTAGGCTAGATTTCTTGTCTCTGATTGGCAACATCTCGGCAGACTTGACATACATGCTCTCGAACTTGTTTTGGTGAACTTTATGTGACAGAGTTAGCAAGGCCAATTCGATGCAGGTGTGCTCTGAGATTACAGTAACCCAGTCTGAGTATGAAACTTCTGGTCTACATGTTTCTGCCAGTTTGTGTTCTGATCAGTAAGACAGTACACATTGCTTCTCTCAAGGATCCGCTTTTAAGTGTTTTTAAGTTTCAAAATTTAGTTGTATTTATATTTGTAATGTTTTGCTTTTGTGTGCCTATAAATACTAACTGTATCATCCATTCTGTTACTTGTGAGTGTATTCTTGCACATTGAATTTTTGGTAGTTTGACTTGCAGCTGAAGCCATTTTATTGTTCATCATTACGAACATATTTGTGATAGATGAACAACTGAGCTGAGTTAAGTATCAACATCATACACAGCACTCATGACGTTCCTATTTCACTCTATTCCCAGCTCCAGCAGCCAGCTAAGAGTTCCACTTCTGATGATATCAGAAGCAATCTTTTTGTATATCCATCTTGCCCATTCTCTGAGTGTTGAGTTTATGCCAGATCCCCTGGTTGATTCCTGGCTGCACCAGTGGCTCCAGACTGTGATGAAATATTTGCGACTGCACTGTTCACTGTTTGCTTCGAAAAGGCCTTGATAACACTAGCTTGTCCTGCAATCAATTTCCCACCAAGTGGTAGTATAGAAACAGCAAATCTTATCTGACTGTTCACTTCCTAACACACGCTTCTGGAGAAAATATATAGACGACATTACCTACCCAAAATCTCTTAATCAATGCTTGCCATCCTACAGGCAGCAAATTTGTCTCCACCGTTCTCAGCATGTTTTGTGAGTCTATTAGAATCACAATATGTGTGTGCAGCTGGTTCTCAAGTCAGTGAAAGGCTGCTGTACCTACCTCCAGCTCCATTCTTGTGAAATCATATGCTAAGCTCTGTTACAGTAAGGGTTTGTAGCAGTAAGGGTCATCCATTCACCTTTGCTATGAACCCCTATGCACTTCTGCCTCACAACACAAAACCCTCTGTATTTATAACATCATCTGGGTAGGAACTGTCATAAATCAGTTGCTGGTTTTTTGACTATGCTGTACCATCAACATTCACATGCAGCGTGTGTTCAGACAAATACAACTAATTACAACACCAATAAATAATTACATCAATATGGAGCTGAAACAAATACAACATAAAAGACAAAACAAAAATACAAAACCCTAAGGACACAGCACAAAACCCGAACATGATACTGACCAGGCCAGGTGAGTAAACTGTGAGTCCACGGAGCAGCCCACTACCTCGGTGTTGATCTTACGGAAATCTGCCATGCTGTCACTGAATGCAATGATCTCAGTGGGACATACAAATGTGCTGGAATGGATCACACAAATGACAGCATTAGACATATTGTGGGTGATAATACAGTTAGAAGATTTCTGGGAATATCATTAAACAAACTGTGGAAAGGATATAGTATGAGACGAATTGTGGGGAATAATACGGTTAGAAGATTTTTGGGAATATCATTAAACAAACTGTGGAATGGATACAGTATGAGACAAATTGTGGGGGATAATACCGTTAGAAGATTTTTGGGAATATCATTAAACAAACTGTGGAAAGGATATAGTATGAGACAAATTGTGGGGGATAATACCGTTAGAAGATTTTTGGGAATATCATTAAACAAACTGTGGAAAGGATATAGTATGAGACAAATTGTGGGGGATAATACCGTTAAAAGATTTTTGGGAATATCATTAAACAAACTGTGGAAATGATATAGTATGAGACAAATTGTAAAAATTGTATTGTGGGAATGGTATGATAAGACAGACTGTAGGAATGATACCATTTGACATACTGTGAAAATGAGTAGTCTCGAGGCATGGCGTCCGCCTTGAGTGCTGGAGGTCCCAGGTTCAGGCCCCGGTGAATGAATGGTCGGATTATTTCATGTGGACTTCTAGTAATTTCCCTTGGTTTTCATGTGGACTTCTAGTAATTTCACTTGGTTTCTGGGTAGTAAGATCGGATGACCATGTGTATTGTTGCGCACGCCAAAAAAAAAATCCTTTGGCAGCTGGAAATCGAAATGAGTAGCCTAATGGCACTGCCCGGGCAAAATTTGGAGTTACAAATCTACCTAAAGGGATCAGGATAGTCGCCAGTGCCATGGCGTTTGTGCACTGTGCTGAGATTCCTTGGACTCAGGCTTGAATTAGAAGTAGAACAGAACACTTATGGGTTACTACCCTTGTGCCATGATGTTGATCTGTTGTATAAACCATAAACCAGTGGGAATGTATCATTAGACAGACTGTGGAGATGATACCATTAGACGGATAGTGGGAAGAATATGGTAGGATACAGACTGTGGAGATGATACCATTAGACGGATAGTGGGAAGGATATGGTAGGATACAGACTGTGGAGATGATACCATTAGACGGATAGTGGGAAGGATATGGTAGGATACAGACTGTGCAGATGATACCATTAGACGGATAGTGGGAAGGATATGGTAGGACACAAACTGTGGAGATGATACCATTAGACGGATAGTGGGAAGGATATGGTAGGACACAAACTGTGGAGATGATACCGTTAGACGGATAGTGGGAAGGATATGGTAGGATACAAAATGTGGAGATGATACCATTAGACGGATAGTGGGAAGGATATGGTAGGATACAGACTGTGGAGATGATACCATTAGACGGATAGTGGGAAGGATATGGTAGGATACAGGCTGTGGAGATGATACCATTAGACGGATAGTGGGAAGGATATGGTAAGATACAGACTGTGGAGATGATACCATTAGACGGATAGTGTGAAGGATATGGTAGGATACAGACTGTGGAGATGATACCATTAGACGGATAGTGGGAAGGATATGGTAGGATACAGACTGTGGAGATGATACCATGAGACGGATAGTGGGAAGGATATGGTAGGATACAGACTGTGGAGATGATACCATTAGACGGATAGTGGGAAGGATATGGTAGTATACAGACTGTGGAGATGATACCATTAGATGGATAGTGGGAAGGATATGGTAGGATACAGACTGTGGAGATGATACCATTAGACGGATAGTGGGAAGGATATGGTAGGATACAGACTGTGGGAATGATTGAGGTTTGGAACAACGGATCACCATCACGGCACACAGGTGTAACCCATAAGTGCTCCATTCTTCTAAATCAAGTCTTGAGTCCGAAGAAGCTCAGCACAGTGCACAGGCTCTGTAGCACCGGCAAGGATCCTGAAATACTTTGGGTAGATTTTGAACTCCAAATTTTGCCCGGACAGCAATGTTAGGCTACTATTTTCGATTTCCAACTGCCAAGAGATTTTTTTACGTGCACAACAATGCACATGGCTTCCGATCTCACTACCCAGAGACCAGGGGGGATTATGTGGGAATGATATGGTAGGATACAGACTGAGGGAATGACACAGTATGAGAGAGATTGTGGGATTGATAGCATTTGACAGATTGTGGGAATAATATAGTATGTTACAGACTGTGGGAATGATAAAGCATGAGACAGATAGTGGGAATAATACCATCAGACTGTAAAGTAAAGTAAAGTTCCCTTTTCACGCCTTTTGGCGCATCGGGCATATGGGCAGAGCGTCCCATATTTTTACAGACCATCAGCACTCTGTGGGTAATGTGGTCAGCATTACGCCGGCTGTCTTTACTTTCCCAGGACAGCCCATCCTGGTACCCATTTTAGGCTGGGTCGATCTGACTGACTGAGAATTATACTATTAGACAGGTTGTAGGTACAGCATCTTATGGCAAATATACACAGACACAGAACTGTAGACATCCTGTCAGAATGCAGCAACAACAGCTACCAACACACACAGGTGATACAAGTGAGAAAATATTATGCAACAGCAAAATAAGATGGACTGGCAATACTGAAGATATTAATACATTCACACAGTATGACAATAGCCAGCTCCAACTATTGAGAATTGGCCTAATAACAATTCCTCTCCACAATGCATGATGCAGATGAGATGATGCTGACTCATTAAGTGGTCACAAAAACATATCAGACAACACTTACAAGTCTAGAGGGTAGAAGAAAAACACAAGGTATTTGCCCTTGAAGTCAGAAAGTTTGATATCCTTGAACTCCCCATTGATCACCGCAGTTCCATTCCAGTCTGGGGCAGCCTTTGAAACTGTTGGGAAAATATTTAAACACCATCACTGAAACTGACATTCTATGTGTGGCTGGGGTTCAGTTGGCAATCCAGCCTAAAAATGAACGCTTTTATAAAATAATTTTACTTACGAGATTTTAACAAATTCAGACCACCCTAACTGTGAATACAAGCTGCAGTATCTTCTTCATCTTCTTTGTGTTCATTGCCTGTTAACTCTAGCAGAAAGTTCTGGTTGTTTATCCACTTCTGGACTTTTTATTCTTGTTCCAGAACTAGTTTTGGGTGTGCATCCTTGATTGGTCAACTCTTACGACATGCTTGTTATGGGCAGTTGGACTACTCACCCTTCCACATATATGAAGTGGCGTGCGAAGCCTGGGTTTTCACACATATCAACCATTACGTATGAGGTGAGACAGCCAGTTTCCTTCTTCATCCCCTTTCATTCTCACACAAACTGCAGAAAATTATGGAAATGATCTAGTACCCCTTGCTGTGTCCTAATGCACCCACTCCTGCATGTGGATGTTCTTACGCACCCACTCCTTCATGTGTATGCCCTAATGCACAGACTCTACATGTGTATGCCCTATTACACCTACTCCTGCATGTTTATGCCCTAATGCAAACTAATGCAATTGTGTGCCCTATGCACCCACTGCTGCAAGCACCCACTGCTGCATGTGCATGTTCTAATGCACCCACTCCTGCATGTGTATGTTCTAATGCACCAGCTCCTGCATGTGTATGTTCTAATGCACCCACTCATGTATGTGTATGCCCTAATGCACCAGCTCCTGCATGTGTATGTTCTAATGCACCCACTCCTGTATGTGTATGCCCTATGCACGTATGCCCCAATGCACCCACTCCTGCATGTGTATGTTCTAATGCACCAACTTCTGCATGTGTATGTTTTAATGCACAAACTCAGGCAAGTGTATGTTTTATTGCACCCACTCCTGCATGTGTCTGCCCTAATGTACCTACGCATGCATGTGTATGTTCTAATGCACCCACTCATGCATGTGTATGCCTATGCACCCACTCCTGCATGTGTATTCCCTATGCACCCACTCTTGCATGTGCATGTTCTAATGCACCCACTCCTGCATGTGTATGCCCTAATGCACCAGCTCCTGCATGTGTATGTTCTAATGCACCCACTCCAGTATGTGTATGCCCTAATGCACCCACTCCTGCATGTGAAAGTTTTATTGCACAAACTCCTGCTTGTGTATGCCCTAATGCACCAACTCCTGCATGTGTATGTTCTAATGCACCCACTCCTGTATGCCCTAATGCACCCACTCCTGCATGTGAATGTTTTATTGCACCCACTCCTGCATGTGTATGTTCTAATGCACAAACTCCTGCATGTGTATGCCCACTCTTGCTTGTGTATGTTCTAATATGCACCAACTACCTGCATGCAGATATTCTAATGCACCAAGCCCAACACTGCATGTGGATATTCTAATGCTCCCACTCCTGCATGTAGATGTTCTAATGCACCCAATCCTGCATGTGTAATGCCCTAATGCACCCACTCTGCATATGGATGTTTTACTGCACCTACTCCTGTAAGTGTAGGCACTAATGCACCTCCTCCTACTTGTATTAGCACTAATGCACCACTCCTGTTGTATACGTTCTTAAGCATCCACTGTACATGTCCTAAAGCGATCACTCAAGCACACCCATATAAGTGGCACGACCATAAAATTACTGACAAAGAAAAACTTTATTCAGTAAACAAAGAATAAAACATACTTTACATTGTGGACAAAGATATATTTTATACAATAGACACTTCATAAAACAAAAGTAATTACCGTACACAAAACAACACACATGTCACCCACAAAGTGTGATATTGCTAATACTAGTAACACCACCAGCCATATTTATTAACTTTCAGCCACATATGAAAGCTCATGATTTATGAAAGCTCACAGTGCATGGAGCTACAGCAACAGATGTCACCAACACAGCACTGCCATGATTATCTCCACATATGGTACAGAACTGTGAATGATGTGATGTGATGTGGCCATTAACAGCATTGTTATGTGGCCTGTAACAGGTAAGAGAGCTGGGCGATTGAATATATCAAAAGTAGAAAAACTAGCTGCCTAAACCGTCCTTGTGTAAGGACTAGTTATACACAGAGTGTTATTCAGAGGGGATGTTGCAGACAGAACATGGACTTCACTGAAAAGGGAAGTAGAAGCTTAAATACAATCAATGATATCCTGTTTAAACTTTCCATTATATAATAGGGATATTTACAGATTTTGTTCTTTTAGATACCAAAAAATGCATGTTTGTTTAATACATTCAAATTTTTAATATTGAATGTATTATAAGTGTTAAATGCAATAATGTACAATATTACAGATTATATTAATAGTATAATTTTCAAACTGTTGCAATTTAATCAGTTTGCGTTATCTATCTATAGGTATATGACAGTGATTCTGGGTTATTATTTTATTGCTGCAATAAGTACTTAACACATTCTCACTCCACAAAGAGCAGCTAATCCATAGGTGTGCATAGTGGCAATATATATCCAATTTTGAATACAAATCACATTTATATGGTGCATAATTTCTGATTACTGTAAGTTAAATAGGATTTAAAATATTGGCTCTCCTCAGAACTTCTACCCCCGCATTATGGCGGCCTGAAATATCCGTTCGGGGCTCAGTCGGAAAAATTTGGACTTTCTGCCAAGGAACAAATCGCGCCAAAACTAGGATTACTTGACAATTTCAAGAGACGCAACATTGCAGACGATAGTAGCAGACGATAAAAGCGACCGGTGACAATGTCGAGCGTTTCTGCAGACGATACTAGTAGACGATAAAAGCGACCGTTGACAATGGAAAGTGTCAACGGTTGCTATTATCGTCTGCTACTATCGTCTGCAGTGTTGCGTCTCTTAGAATTGTCAGGTAATCAGAAACAATAAGAAACAGGTCCGCAAGTAACATTTCGCTGACACCCTGTTAGAGCATTTGTTTCATTATACGGAGCCGGCATATTTTTAATAGAACTGAGCCCTGAACGGATATTTCAGGTCGCCATAATGCGGGGGTAGAATTTCGGAGGAGAGCCAAAATATTTACAATCAAGTTAAAACTATACTATTGAGGAAAAGCAGAAAACATAGAGGCTAAGTTTTTAAGCCAATTGCTTCATGCTCAGAAAGTTGTAGGCTCTCTGGGAATCGTTGCTAGAGCTAACGAGGTTGTGCATCGTTCTTAAGAGGTGGCTAGCCATTGTGCAGATGGACTGAGCCGTGTGGGGCAAAACCAAACGCAATTAAGTAGACATTTTACACTGTTAAGCTTCTTTTGATAATTAACTCATAAAGTGCTTCCTTAAAACTAGTGAGCCGGTGGCCATTTTTATTTATACATTTATTAGGCCTATGTTGCATCTTATGTATTAGATACGCATATATACAGATAGGCTTCACTCCTCACTATCCCAGTTGCAATGATACATAGCTGCTAAGGAATCTTTTTAAGAAACAAAACAGTTATTGTCATAAAATGCGAACATTTTGTCATTTCAACCCTTCATTTTACTAGGACATAGCCTGGAATCCATCTTTTTGTCAGAATTATCTATAATTTTTCTATGGCGGGATCCACCATTAAAATGTTAACATCTCCGCTTGAAAGTGACCTACAGCCTTCACTGGGGTACTGTTGGACTGAATAGTTTACGTAGTTGAGATACTTTCATAAGTAAAAACCCAATATATTCAACTTCACTACCATCCCCAGTAATAACAGTTAAGCCATCATCTGTGATACTTCACACATAAGCAAGCCAAAGCCTCCAAAAACTACAACTGCTTGTGACTTGTTTTAAATGTTTATTATTTTAATTAGTTAGTTAGTCTTTCCTCTTGTGTCGAGTGCGGCACATAGGGCAGAGGTCATGATTCTCCATGCATGGCGGTTCGTTGCAATCCGTTGTAGGTCTTGGATGTTTGAGTGGCCCATGAGCGAGCCTTCCCTGATGATAGTCCTACGTAGGGTTTCCCTTGGTCTTCCACGAGATCTTTTCCCCTGTGGTGTCCAAATAAGGGCTTGGTAAGGAAGTCTTGATTTATCCATTCTAAGGGCGTGGCCGACATAGTTCCAGCGGCGTTTTCGTATAAAATTACACATACTCTTGCCTGGATTCTTGCCTTATTTGTGTATTTGTTCGGAAATCTGACCATTTGAAATTTAGTATTCTTTTAAGGAATTTATTTTCAAAACTTTCTAATTTTGTTTCTAGATTTTTAGTTGATTTCCAGCTCTCGCATCCATAGGTTAGTACTGGAATCACACAAGAATTGAAGATCTTGAGTTTTGTGTGTTTGCTAAGTGTCTTTGATTTCCAGATGTTAGACAGTTTATTGAAGGCACTAGATGCCAGTGCTATTCTAAATGGTATTTCTGGTGCGGTATCTCCTGTAGATGACATCTTGCTCCCTAGATAAGTGAAACTGTTGACTTTTTCAAGGCTTTTGTTGTTCAGCGTGATATCAACTGAACTGTTGGTAAAGTCTAGAATTTTTGTTTTTGCGGTGTTAATTTGAAGTCCAATTTGTTCTGAGAATTTCTGGAGTTGATTGATTTTTTCTTGGGCGTCTGTGTGTTCTGAACTCAGGAGTGCTATCATATGTCGTCGGCGAAGTCTAGGTCTTCCAGAATTTAGTCAACCCATTATTTTAATTGGTGTACCTTAAATTCTAAGAATCGCCACAGTGATGTTCATTGTATCATTGTAAGCTAAGCTTTCTGAAGTCGATGAATTTCCAATTTTGAAATAAGGCGTTGCCGTTATTCGTTATAACAATATAACCGTTATTCAAATTCCCTACTAAACTACTAAACTTTACTTTTTTGTTTTCAGTTAATTTTTTTAAAAAACAACCAGCGATTTATTTATGTGCACTCTCACTCACTGACTGCTTGGCTCCACTGAATTGAATGCCCGCTGGTACGTTTAGTCTCCTGTGGGTAAACCTGTCCACCAGCAAACGAGTGACAACTGTCTTCTATTGTCTGAGCTTTAGCAACGACAAAAAGCAACAACAAGCCGGTCACAACAACCATGTTTGTAGGCGCGGCCATTTTTCTACCACGTATGGGGGGGAGTAGAGCAAGGAGAGTCACCTGCTTTGCAAGTTTCGCCCACAGTTGTTATTTCACATGCATTTCAATTGTTTTATAGTTTAAAGTTTAGTATTTTAACAAGATAACAATAATAATAGTAACAATCTAGATTACTTTAAATATACACGAAAAAAAAAAAAAAGAAGACACCGTGATTAATAACAACTACCTAAAAAGTATACTACAGGTTACGTGTAATTATTAGAATAATTATGCTAAGACTGCTAGTGTTCTTGGACAGTCTTGACTGCAGTCACCAACATATTTTCACCATTAGTGTTCTTGGACATGTTATGACAAGTAATTGACTGGGGAAAGCAGGGGGACGACAAATATACATAGGGATTAAAAAAAACGAAACAATGACATTGACCTGAGAGTCAAGTGATCGTATAGATGGACGATTTTTAACTGCCTCAACTTATTGGCATGGCTCAAATAGATTGGTCCCTTTTCTTTGTTCACCGAGTGTGAGTTCCGGTGGAAAGTCCTGGTTGTTCGTCCATTTTGGCTTTGTGCCAGGGCCTGAGTTTTGCGTGTGCATCCGTTTTACTGGCTCATTTGTGTGCAATTGGTTGTTCCTTGCCCCTCAGGCAGATACACTCAGACTTCTAAGGAAGCGCCCATTTAGTCGACTCCTGCGACATGCTTTTTGGGAAAACAATGGGTCTATTCCTTTCCCACACTATCGGGTCCCAGAACCCACACGGCAAGCTCAAGTCGACTAAACCCCCGTGGTCCTTATTCATTTCGATGCATACTTTTGCTATTTCATTTAAAGGTTTCTGTCTGTTGTTATTAAATTTATATTTTATAACCCGAAAACCGAAATATATTTGTCGTACCAGTTAGTTAGTTATTTGTTTAACAGACCGATCATCCTCATCGTGCAAGTCCACTAGAGCCCATTTTCATTCTCTCCCTCAGCGAATGGTGACTTATAGAACAAGTTCTGTGATGGTTTACTATTCTGTTTTTATATAGTATCCATGTCTAACAACACATCTTTTGACTGAAGTTCCTGTATTCTTGTCAAGGTTGTCAATTCACCGTCGTGTCTTGAATGATCTACACGTCCTGTCTCCTCCAGAGTACACCGTCCCGGCTGACTGCTATTCCTCTGCTTGCGGTGGCCCTACCAGCAAACCAACCCGCTCGTTCATTTCCGCTTGACCCAAAGTTTTCTGGCACACAAATGAAAATGATTTCTTTCAGTTGAGGTTTCTACAGAGACGCCAACCATTGTCTTAGAACCCATCTAGTCTCGATTTTCTTAAGAATGTTCATGGAATAATTAGAAAGCACGCATGGGCAACAAATCTCCAGTAAGGTCATTGCTTTTGTACTACCATCGCAAATCACACGATCGTCGACTTCGAACGACGGATCCATCGGTATAAATAACTCCACCTTTATCAGCAGAATTCTCAAGAATCAAGGCTAGAACTTTTGCTTTCACAGTCAACGGGCTCTGCAATCTCCGTCCCATTTTATATAGTAAAAGTAAAGATCCCTTTTCACGCCTTTCGGCGCATCAGGCATATGGGCAGTGCGTCCCATATTTTTACAGACCATCAGCACTCTGTGGGTAATGTGGTCAGCATTACGCCGGCTGTCTTTACTTTCCCAGAACAGCCCATCCTGGTACCCATTTTAGGCTGGGTCGACCTGCGACGTCCCATACCACGATAAAAATCCACGCAGCCTGCAGTGGGTTTCGATCGCGGTATGCTGACTTACGAGTCGGACTCGCAACTTTCTGGAAATGAGAAAGCTGATCAACTGGCAGGAGAAGGTGCGACAAAAGTGCAGCCGGATGTACCAGTCACATACCACCAATAGAAAAGAATCATTAAATCAATCAGAAAACCACCAGCCCCAGCACAAGACGACTATTTTTTTTTGGACAGATCAGAACAAGTCATTATCCTCCGCCTCAGAACAGGGCACAACCGATTACGTAACCACATGTACACAAAATTCAAGATAGGCGTATCAGCCATGTGCACCGGTGGAAAGGTGCCCCAGACAGCAGAGCATGTACTCCAGGACTGCACCGAATTTGACACATTAAGGCAAACCTTTTGGCCAGAAAGAACAACAGTGGAACGTAAACTCCATGGACCACTGAATGAATTAACAACAACAGTGAAATTTATACAAGAGACAAAACTGCTGATATAGACAACTAATTTCAGGCAAACGAAAGAAGAAGAAGAACCTGATTCCCCTTTCTCCCGGGTTGCCATACTGGCATTTTTGATTCCAGATTCCATAAATTTGGCATATTTGAAAATGAACTGGCATAAGATAATGAACTGGCATATTTGGGCATATTTTGGTTTTTCCTGGCTTTTCCTATCAATATGTGCTCACATTTTCTTCATTGTTCCTCCGTCAGAAAGTCACAGATTTACTAAAAGCAATGTAGACCTACAATTAACATCTTTATTTCAGTTTGACATTGTTGTGATGTCCTGGTACGGAGTAACGGAGATTTGCGCCATTTCTGATTGTATTTGTTGTCTCATAAACGGATCGTGACTTTGATAAAACAAGGCCCTCTGTAATTTATGTTAGTCTAATATAATAAATGCGGGATTTAAAAGCAAAACCCACCACTGATACCAAGTGATTCAGATTGTTCAGAAACTACTTGAGGACAGAAAATAGAGAGGATTTAGTTCTAGTTCTATCTGTTAAAGATTTTATTACTTTTACTAATGACCACGTAATTTCCCCCCCCCCCCTTTTTCCCCCCACTAAAAAAAAATAAAAGGCATCTTATGACATCGCAAGTACAATAGTAACTGAAAGAAAACATACCCACGGCTCAAAAGATCTTCAGACGGATCAGATGCAGCATATCGCAAACTGTGTCAGTGCACTGTTGCACCAAGAATTAGCATATCAAATCATGAAAAATCCGAAAAACACAGGATGAAAACTCCGTCAAAAAGCCAGTCCCAACTTATTACAACAATAACTCCTAGGCAAAGTAATGATAAAGTTAAAGCAGCAGAGCTGCTACAACTTGCTGTAGGCATGACCTGCCATTGTGCAATACGCACAACTGATCATCTAAGTGAAATCACGAGGTATATCGTTGTTCAGCTGCTCTCACTTTTATGACTGGAAAGCCATGATACGTATCAAAACATGTAAATAATGTCAAAATTATGTTGCAATAACCATTCATGCTTGAAAACCGCAACTATTCGACCTTCATAAAATCTTGACAATCGGTCTTGAGACCTAGGAAAAAAGGATTATATAAGTAAGTAAAAACAAAACACATTTGTCGCTTTATCTTTCATTTTTTTCCCATTACAAAATGTAGGTGTCCAGACGGCCACACTATAATTTATTTATTATAAATATAAAGGAAACTGTAGGTCACACAAGTCTGGGAATATGAGAGTTAAAATTAACAATGTCAAGAGTCTGTAGACCACAAGGAATCTATGAGTTAAAAGTAACAATGTTGTAACGATGAGAGGTTCCAAAAAACTCCTAGCTCTGTCTGTAGTTTAATAGCATTGTCTGTCATGACAACAGGATCTAACAAACACAATGGCTGCCTCTGTTGAGGAACCTTCTCTTGGGGCAATTGTTGTTGTGACTTTAAGAAAACAAGCATAGCTCACTGGGACATAAGATTTTTTTTTTAAATAAATGCACAATTAATGCCTTAACTCAAAGTGTTATGCACATTCTACTGTTTATGTATGTTTTAGTTAACTCTATAATCATGAGAAATGGGTGAGTTAAAATTAAAAGTAGGATTTTCGCTTGTTTATGTTTGTTCTGGACAGGACAGATATTTTCATCACGCCCGGCTGTATCTTTATATCTAAAGATGGCCGTGGTTTTCATCACAAAAAATGACTGCTAGAGTAAATTAGTATATAGTGTATAAATGGGCTCTACTGGCAAATCCGGACGAAGAATAAACAGACTTGGACGACTTAGTCAAAGTTATCTCCCGTCGCCGCACTCCGAACAGTAATCGGAAAACAAACGAAACAAACGACACACTTACCTATCATCCTGCGGTTGCGTGTAGGGCTGCGTACGGTTGCGTGAGACATCGTGCCATCATCATATGGTTGCGTGCACAGTTGCGTACGGTTGCGTGAGGCACTGTGAATGGTTGTGTAGTCATCATCATGCGGTTGTTGGATTATAGTTAGGGGTAGGGTTAGGGGTAGGGTTAGGGGTAGTGTTAGGGGCTCTACTGGCAAATTTGGCCGGTAAGCTGGACTGCTTCGGCCGGCTTAGCGGGGCTTAGTGGGAGTTATGTCCCTTCGCGTCCCTTCGCCAAACTCAAAACAAGTCGTGGAAAAAGTCACGAATCAAATGACATACTTACCTATCATCATCCGGGTGCGTGTAGGGCTGCGTAGGGTTGCGTCTAGGGTTACCTATCATCATACGGTTGCGCTTAGGGCTGCATAGGGTGTCTATCATCATCATCATACGGTTGCGTGTAGGGTTGCGTAGGGTTTGGGTTAGCGGTAGGGTTAGGGATGTGGGTTAGGGGTAGGGTTAGGTGTAGGGGTAGGGTTAAGGTTAAGGGTAGGGTTAGGGGGAGGGTTAGGGGATAGGGTTAGGGTTAGATGATGTGAAAATATTCATGTAGGAGGTGGAAATACTGGCCGACAATCTGATGCTTGTGGGAGTGGCGCCACTGGAAGTGTGCCAAATATGACGGCAATAGCGCGCGGCGGCTGGTGCCCCAATCAGTGGCAAATTGTCCGTGTCAGTAGCATCCACCGTCCGTCGACTGTTTGTGCGTGCATGCGACTGTGCGCGATTGTAGGGAACTACGGCGTCACAATTTTCACATCTAACTCTACACCTAACCCTAAACCCTAACCCTAACCCCTAACCCTAACCCCGAACCCTAAACCCTAACCCCAAACCCTAACCCTAAACCC